GATTTAAAATGAATAAATATCAGATTATTTATCTATTTGTTTATGAATTATAAAACAAAATCTAGAAAATTAATTTTAATATTTAATAGAAATATTTACAATTGTAAGTTTTATAATATTCAAAAACTTACTTGTATACTAATAAGTATCAAATTAAATAAATGATAGTCATTTGTTTTTAACAATTTTTGGTATATACTTTGTCTCAAAGAATATAAAGTTTCTATGAATGTCAAGTGACTAATGAACACACACACACACACACACACACAAAGGCCACGTGCACGCATGTGCAGAGTGGAAATAATTAAAGTTTCCCTATTTAGAGCAATCTGTAGCTGTAACCCTTAAGTAGATTAGATTGACCAAAAAAAAATAAAATAAAATAAAATAAAAACAACTTCTGCTAGGGAGTGCTTTATAAAAAATATACAAAACAAAGCAACAAAAACAATGAAAATGCATTTATTCATTCTGCAAGGGACATGTCTTCTTCAGAGGTTGTTTACTAATATAAGGAATGTTTCTCTATGTGAGCCTCATTCACATGTAAAATTTGTAGGTGATGAACAGTGCTCAATGCCTGAACAGGTTGGCTGCAACTACTTTCCATTGATGCTTTCACAAGCACCATGTAATATGATCCATTAAAAGTTTATTACTTATATAGTCTCCCAACCAGAAATCATGTGGTGTTTTGTTTTGTGAATTTCATGTAAAGTTCCCCCTAGTGAAAATTTTTGAACTAAATTTTTTCTTGTAAAATCCTTTTCTACATCCTTTGCATAGTCTGTATACAAATTTTGGTGTCAATCTGCTTACTGGTCATAACTACAGTGTGCTTTAAGTAGGGAAACTTTAATTATGGCCACCCTGTACATAAAAAAACTACAATTTCAGCTAAAGCTCTTTCACATATCATTTCTCATTTCCTATTATTCTCACATATTTTGTTATTACATTTAAGCTAAAGATTACAAATCCATTAACATGATTTGAATAAAAATCCAGCCTTCCTTTAAGACAACTAAATGCCAAATAGTTATTTTTTTCTGTTTTGAAGTATATCAAATTTTGTTTTATACCAAAAAAGTAAAAATAAATGTTTATAGACTTAAAGGTGCTAATTTCTGTATCTACACAAAATAATTGCAAGTGCCATAAAAATTTAATTTAGATTATCTATTTTTAAAAATAAATCCATTGTTGTCTTTAATATAGAAATTGTTAACAAAAAAAAAAAAATTGAGTTAAATTCAATTGAGTATGTATTTATCATTGATGATACTANTCAAATTATAAATTTTAATTACAAAATTTAATAAATATATATTTTAATCATTAAAAATAAAGGAAAATAAAAACTTAAAATTAATTAGAATGTTTTTATCAGTGGCACACTCAGGATTTAATCTTGAGGGAGCTGAGTTGAATGGATAAAAAATTTTTAATGCAAATTCAATAAAATGTAAAAAAAATGTATCTTCTGTAACTGCCAATTCATTAGTAGTATAGAAATAGAAGACATGACACAATGTAAATAAAAAAAAATTCTAATTAGAAAAAGATTTCTGAAAAGTTTTCTAGTTTGTTTTCTTTTTCTTTGGAGAGTGCCAGGCTCCTTGGTCCCCCTGAGCGGGTCATTGGTTGTTATAATTCTGTAAAAATTACAGACAGGTTTTTATTTTATATAATGACATTCTATCTAGTGACAATGTTTAGTGAACCCCCTTTTTATGGCCTGAATTTATTTCAATGCTTTTGTGAGAGTTCTGGACTCTAAACTATCATTTTTGTACATCTGTAAATTAGTTATTTAATATTTGTTTGAAAAAAATCATTTAAGTCTGAGATGGCAAATATAACCAAAGTAGTTCACAAGATTTTCTCTATGATAACATTTCCTTCGTAAATGACATCTTCCAATAAAACCTACTCATCTAAGGAAATATAGTAAAAAATCGGGGATTGGACAGTCATCCAGCTCTCCAAAAAATTTCACTAAATTTGGGTATAAGGATGGAGAGGGGTGAGACCCCAAATAAAAAGAGAATGTGAAGTCATGGAGTTTGTCCGTTCATTAAGTTGTGATCATTTACAACAGTGCTCCATTGCCACTGGCCCCTTCAGACTCCTGCCTGCCGATCCTTCACTGCTCCACTCAAGAGAGCCTGATTACATCAACTTTTTGATTACTTTTGACCAACCCCTACAAGTTGGAACTGTTTAACTATACTTTCAAGAGACAATATGTCCAAAGCTATGACTGGATTAATGAACACTATTATGACGACTTCCTCTTTTTGATTTTGGAGTAGAGATTTTCCTCCAGGGAAAGACTCACTGGGAGATCATCGAATATCAGAACTACATCACAGGTATTTATCAGCACGTGTACTATTTGTAAACTCTCACACAGAGATAAGTGAGTGAGATAGATTTAAATATAATTGTAAATTAATAGACTACATTTGGTAAATTATACATTTAAAATAACATTTAATAAAATTTTAGCATTCGCCCATAGGAAACTTTGTAATGTTTTTAAATTTATAATTGTTGTCCTGGCAGTAAATTTTATTGAATTTTATTTTAAATGTATAATTTTTATAAGTGTTTTTTTCCTGCTGCCAGAGGATAATTTGTAATATTTTGCATTACAAGGCAGAGAAGTAGCCTCCAGATAAAGGTTTAAACTCTGCCACAAGATTTGTTATTTCCTGTTGATATACAAAGGGACAAAAAGGAAGGATGACACTTTTAGACTTTGTCCATAGGAAAGTGTAATTTTTCCAAATTTATATTTGGTGAAAATAAACATTTGTTTAACTGTTGACCAGTTTAGAGTGAATCACTTCCAGATTCTCTGTCTCTCAACTTTCTCCTCTATCTCTTACTGTAAGTTCTTCCATATGCAACCACTCATGCATTTATTGAAATGTTTCTGTGAGCCAAAAGTCAAAAGATGGTGTCAGTCCTAACCTGGAGGTGCTGCAGTTGTAGCTGTTACACTTTCTTGTGTGTGGTTTTTTGCATATAAATGACTCTAACCTTCTATACAACTGACATTCTTAACTAAAAATATTTTTAGATTTTAAAACTCTTTATAATGTCATACAACTTAATCCTACTGTTTAGTTTAGTTTAGAACTACAGCATTTTCTTATACAGGTAACCCCATATAACACGGGAGTTACGTTCCAAAAAATTGCTGTGTTATAAGAAACAAAGAACTAGTGCGAAAAGGGAGTTAGGTTCCAAAAATTAAAAAACACGTTGTTAAATCCTTATGTAAATTAGATTCATTATTCATTTTTTCCATAGGTAAAATACTTATTTATTATTTAAGTAAATATTTTACCAGAGGATTATTCATCCTATATGATGATCTCAGCATGAACATCATCAACTGGTAACAGTTTTTGGGTGTGTTTGTTAATAGTGGTCGCTCTGCAACGGAGTGCGCTGCTGTTTGTAGGCATTTAGGAATGACAGTGAAAGAAAAATGGCAGCGCCCACACTATCGATAGTATTGTGATGGAGGAATCTATAATTTTAAAATGAGCTTTTAGAGGCAAAAGAAGGGTCCCAATTGTAAAATTTAACCATTAAATGGATTATTTGTTGAAAGAGCATTCAAAGTAGNTCAAATTATAAATTTTAATTACAAAATTTAATAAATATATATTTTAATCATTAAAAATAAAGGAAAATAAAAACTTAAAATTAATTAGAATGTTTTTATCAGTGGCACACTCAGGATTTAATCTTGAGGGAGCTGAGTTGAATGGATAAAAAATTTTTAATGCAAATTCAATAAAATGTAAAAAAAATGTATCTTCTGTAACTGCCAATTCATTAGTAGTATAGAAATAGAAGACATGACACAATGTAAATAAAAAAAAATTCTAATTAGAAAAAGATTTCTGAAAAGTTTTCTAGTTTGTTTTCTTTTTCTTTGGAGAGTGCCAGGCTCCTTGGTCCCCCTGAGCGGGTCATTGGTTGTTATAATTCTGTAAAAATTACAGACAGGTTTTTATTTTATATAATGACATTCTATCTAGTGACAATGTTTAGTGAACCCCCTTTTTATGGCCTGAATTTATTTCAATGCTTTTGTGAGAGTTCTGGACTCTAAACTATCATTTTTGTACATCTGTAAATTAGTTATTTAATATTTGTTTGAAAAAAATCATTTAAGTCTGAGATGGCAAATATAACCAAAGTAGTTCACAAGATTTTCTCTATGATAACATTTCCTTCGTAAATGACATCTTCCAATAAAACCTACTCATCTAAGGAAATATAGTAAAAAATCGGGGATTGGACAGTCATCCAGCTCTCCAAAAAATTTCACTAAATTTGGGTATAAGGATGGAGAGGGGTGAGACCCCAAATAAAAAGAGAATGTGAAGTCATGGAGTTTGTCCGTTCATTAAGTTGTGATCATTTACAACAGTGCTCCATTGCCACTGGCCCCTTCAGACTCCTGCCTGCCGATCCTTCACTGCTCCACTCAAGAGAGCCTGATTACATCAACTTTTTGATTACTTTTGACCAACCCCTACAAGTTGGAACTGTTTAACTATACTTTCAAGAGACAATATGTCCAAAGCTATGACTGGATTAATGAACACTATTATGACGACTTCCTCTTTTTGATTTTGGAGTAGAGATTTTCCTCCAGGGAAAGACTCACTGGGAGATCATCGAATATCAGAACTACATCACAGGTATTTATCAGCACGTGTACTATTTGTAAACTCTCACACAGAGATAAGTGAGTGAGATAGATTTAAATATAATTGTAAATTAATAGACTACATTTGGTAAATTATACATTTAAAATAACATTTAATAAAATTTTAGCATTCGCCCATAGGAAACTTTGTAATGTTTTTAAATAGCCTACATAATCTATGTATTGATAGTTTTATTATTGTGTTTTTTGTATACATAGATAAAAAAATATTTTTATTTTAATATATGTACAGTAAAAATTATGAATATATTAATTTTATGCTATGTTATATCTTAAAAGTAAGTTATGAACACTTACACTTTAAATAAAATAATAATTTATATACAAAAAGATAGTGGAATGTTTAGCAAGACCAATTATATTTTGTTCAAATTGCAAAAAAATATCTCTTTGCAAACAGGATTTTCTAAAAATATATATTTTTAACACAATTGTATCAAAAAACATGCACAATTATTAAGTAAGTTATTGTGGACCTTTATTGATATTATTAAGTGCCAAGCTTTAATATAAATAAGAAGGCACTGCTGATCACAAAGCTGTACGTTCATCATATACAACCACTACTTCATTGTCTACTAAAAGATCCTTGTCATCTATCTGAAATAAACTGCTCCTACTTTTATTCAGAGCAATTGCGGCTGCACTATCATTTCGCATTCTATTTCTTCTTTTCTTTGTAAAATTCAACTAGAAAAAATATATTTATAATATATAAAAAATTATTAAAATTCTAAATGCACAATATTAACTTTCAGTTATAGATATATTGATACGAAATTATATTTCATTGAATCTTAAATGATAATTTAACCTTAGAAAAAAAAATTATTTACACTAAACAACTTTTGGTATGTTATCCCATTACCAGTAATTTAAATTTATATTGACTTAAATTGTTGATGATAGGATGACACATCCCAAAAACATTTCAGCATAAATCTTTTGAGTTCTTCAAAGAAAACCATGATGTTATTCTAATATTAGATATATAGTTACTTCCTAATGTTGAATATTTTATCAAATTATAAACCCAATCAAATTACCTTAGAAAACAGTTCTTCCATTTCATCACCAGTAGAAGCAGGTCTCGATTGCAGACCCCAAAGTGGAAGGCTTTGAGATTTCTTTACATAATTTTCTTCTGCCACACTTTGGTTACTTGATGATGATAGATTTAGATCTAAATAAATTTGCATGTTAAAAGATAAATGAAACTGCAAAGTAATGCCTATAAAAGTACACTGCAATTAAAATTTATTTAATTAGATAATTTAAGAAAAGATATCCAGAATAAAAATACTGTTATCTTCAAATTATCTGTATACAAGGTGTTATGAAAAAATATCTGACCTTATTTTTTTTCTTTGCAAGTACAGTGGAACCTTGGTATATGACCTTAATCCGTTCCTGATGTTTGAACTTATACTGAATAGGATGTATACCAAACCAACCTTTCCCATAAGAAGTAATGTAAAAATGATTAATCCATTCTCATGTAAAAAAAAAATGGCTGGCTTTAAACACCTTGCTTTCCTTGCTAGTTCCTGCTTGATTTTTCATGAGATCAGCATATATCTTTTTAGCTTTCTCACAAATAATTGCTTCTGATACGCTGTTGCCAGCACAGTGTTTTTCAGTTATCCAAAGCAAAAGCAATTTCTCAACATGATCTAATGTCTTCGATCTCTGTTATCAAATTGATTTAACCCCTTTCACAACGTTAGCAGATTTAATAAAGATTTAAACATTAGCAGATTTATTTTTCACGATTGTCAATATCGTCATTCTCGGAATACGTATGCAACAGTTAAATCTCGAACATGCGTGCCACCTTCATATTTCTCAACAATCTCTTTTTTCAGTTCCATTGTGATTCTAGTAATTTTTTTTAGTTTTCTGTTGCTTTTCATTTGCCTTTTTGCAATTCATGATTAATAAAAATAATAAAATTTTACTTACAAATTAAAATCAAAAGAAATTTAACAAAGTTATAAACCGTGGCACCGCGAACGTCTAGTCTGGTCTAGTACACTAATAGTGCTACTTGTTCATAGATATAATTGAATTAAGTCATATACCGAGCAAACTTTGTTTCATCCAAACAGGATGTATTCCGAATTGGACATATTCTAAAGCAGACGTATACCAAGGTACCACTGTATTTGCAAGCTGGAGGGGAGACACTCATCATTTGACCTTTGATATTACTGCATGTATGTGAATTTTGGCAGGCATCTCCTATCCTACGGTCACTATCAGGCAGCCATGATAGTTGCATATTTATGCCGTTATTCTCACATTAGTGATGAAGTGAAAATCATGGAACATAATGTATCCTGATTTTGTGAGAAAATAAACAGAGATGAAAACTGGATCTATAGATCTGACTCCAACACAAAGGCACACTCATCCCAATGGAAAACACCATGGTCTCCACAGCTAAAGAAGGCATGGCAATCACATAGCAATGCAAAGGTCATGTTGACCTTTTTTTTTTCAACCATGAGGACTACATAGTTCATCATACTTGCACCTCATGGATAAAGTGTGACATGAAGCAGTAGGGTAGTATATTACTGTTTCACATCACCTACAAGATGCTGTTAAGTGCAAGAGATTAGAGTTCTGGCAGTTTGATGACTAGTTCATTTCATCAGACAATGCTCCAGTCCACATAATGTATCTCATCTGGACATTCCTTGCAAAACGTAGTATTGCACGATTCAACAGCCTCCTTACCCCCAGATAAGGAACTCTGGCTCTGTCTGACATTTGGCTCTTTTCTGAGCATAAGATGCCACTCAGAGAAGAGATTTCAGAATGCAGAGATCAAGACTAATGCAACAAAATACCTGATGGATATCCCAATAAATGAATTTTAAAAATGCTTCCAACAATGGAAGCATTGCTGAGAGAAATATATGAACTCAGTTGGGTCCTATTTTTAAAATAACTAATGTTAGAATTAAATTGATTTTTAGATGTTTTTTTCCAGATCTCAGGTCAGATACTTTTTGATCAGATCTTGTATTCTAAAATGAGTATCATGATGAAATCTGTTATTATCATTAAAATTACTCGTTATTATTCATTTCATTCAGTATGCCTAACTTTCTCATTTTATAAATTAATATATTTTGTAATTTTCTTTAATATAATTTAATATATTAATTCACTTTTAATTGCAAACAAATTGTCAAGTGTAAAGAAAACTTTATACCAAAAAATTAAGAAAAAAAATATTTTAAATTCATTTTTGTATACCTCTCATTGCAATTACATAAATACAATAAAATCTTCCTAAGTCAAACTGCATTAACTACAAGTTTTCTATATTTTGTTATGTAATTAAATTTTCTCCTGGTATGCCTTGTTTTCTCTTTCAGAGCCAAACAGAAAACAAGTTTTGTAATCTTTCATGTTTTATATTACATGCAAATAAACCATGTTATTCCCTTTTACTTTAGACATGCAAACAGCACAAGCTAATTTTATTATTATTTTACTCTTTAAGTTATAGTTCCTTTTCTTTATGTACAAAAGGTGATTTTTCTTGTCATCTCTGCAAGACACGGATCATGTTCTGATCCTCATAAGAAGTGATAACCATCCAAACAAACAAAATATATTTTTATTATAAAAAAGGAAAAGCAATGATGTATCATGGGGTTTCTTAAAAACCTCACTGAGAGTTGATTTTAATACCAGTTGTTAGAAAACATGCTTTGAGAAAGTATACTATCAGCATTGCAGCAAGTAAATCTATCTAATAAAGGTTGTTAAAAATTGTTACTATTGTCATTATATAATGATTAGTCTTTTTAGAACAGGCTGCCAAACTACACTTGTGCAGTTATTTTAAAAAATAGTATTTATACAATGGTTTTATTATTATTATATTTTGTACTGAAATTTGGGAAAAAAAAGATTGTTCTTACTTTTCTTTTTATTTAAAGTGAGTAATAATGGAAAATATCATACAGTACTTATGTATTTCATGGTTTTCACTTTGAATTTATATTCTCAGATGACTATGTTCGTCTGAAATGCATTCGTAAAATAAAATCATAATAAAGCTATCCTAGTTTTGAGTTAACCTTGTGCAATCAAATTCAACGGCAGTTTGTTTCATCATAAAAGAATTTACCAACTCCCACTATTATCAATGTCAAAAAGATAATTGGATGGTATGATACCTAGAGCAGCATTTCTCAAACTTTTTGCTCATGTGACCCAATATGTTTGTAATGGTTCTGCGATCCAAATGTTTATAATATAAAATTTTTAAAAACTGGTAAACTGGAGTCACTGTATATTATATAACAAAATAAATATGCATTATTAATGTAACTTCTGTGTGTGAAATGTAACATCAAGTACATTTCTATTAAGAGGAGTCCAGGCAAATTTCAATTTGTAACAAATAACTTACTTCAATTTCAGTTATTATTACTACTATTGACATTTTATTATTAAAAAGTGTAAGACTGACAGTTGTAAACAAAACAGACTGTTTCAAAATTATTCAGGAGTCTATTATTTTTCAAAGTAAAATAAGTTTTTTTCTAAACTTAATGAATCCTTTTTTAAAAACTACTTTTCAAATTGTAAGATTTTGTCAATTTCACTTTTTATATACATACATGAAAGAATTATTTACTGATCCACTTTCAAAATTCATCCATTATTTATTTTTTACAGTTTATTGTTTTGTATGACAATAAACCTAAAAGTTTGAATAAACCAAGAAAAATTTTCAAAACCATTGCAACTTAAATGGCTTTATGACTACCAAATTACATATAATGATTTTCTATTTTAATGTTATTTGAAATAGAAAAAAGAAATCAATTTCATAAATATGCATTCTATAATCTTAACTTTCTTATAATTATTATTGTAATTTAGTAATAAAAAAACTTGTTAAGTTTCAGTACTTAACAGATGCATCTATTAGTTCTTAGAAAATATATCAGTATTACAAGTATTTCTGTAAAAGTTGGTATCATTTTAACGTGACCCAATATTGGGTTGTGACCCATAGTTTGAGAAACACTGATCTAGAGAATATGGAAGACAGACAATATTTCTCTAAACATGGCTTTGGAACTTGTCATGGATCAAATCAATTTTATGAGGAAGAGCATTATCCTGAAGAAGCAAAATATCTTTTCAATGAATAAGTGCAGGCTGTGTTTTGAAATCTGTCAAGATTTCTGCAGTGATTGTTTGAATGGTAGCAAAAATCCTATAATGGATGATATTAGTTATAGTCCATTACAGACAGTGGTGATATTCTGCGGGTTCGCACCGGTTCGGCCGAACCCGTTGTTAATATTTTCAAAGTTTTCCGAACCTTCTTAAACACATGTAACATTTCTCAGTGGTTTTGTTTCTTTTAAAAAATATATTAATTAAATATTTAAATATTATAATAAAAATATATACATATTATACTCTGTAATACTACTAAACGAAGTTCAATCGCGATCAACTCAAGAGAGTTCTCGAAACGAGATCCAGTCATAAGAAAGATCCCACAATCCCGCGCACACAAGAAAATACAAGATGGCTGCGGAACACGTGTCGGGCTATCGACACCAAAATAAAAAAGATATTGTATTTCGAGAGACGATGACATCTGTCTATTATTAGATATATCGCAAGAAAAAATATTTTATTTCTAACCAAAACTTCCATTTTGTTTGTCGGTGTTCGTGACTTACCGCGTAGTTATGTCAGTTTTATCATCAGTAATATATATCTTTTTTTATTTATATGGGTATCTTAAAGTCAGTTTTTGCACTAATGTTGCTAATGCACCATTTGAGTGAAAATAATTGTTAAGGAAAAATTTTCTGTTAGCGAACCCTTTGTTAAATATTTCGAATATCACCACTGATTACAGACAAAATTTTCTGTTGTGGATCCTGGCTTTGGTGTTTGTAGTATAAAAAATGAATTATTTATAGGACTAGTAAGCATCCATATTATTGGTTATTTATTATCCAATGAACCTATCATTGGGTAATAAATAACCAATCATATGGATAGTTAGTAGTCCTATAGATAATCCATTTTTTCATTGCACATTTAACAACTTGGCCAAAAATGACTGATTCTTGAAGCATGAAAAGTGGCAAACAGATTGTAAGCATTGGAATTTGTTGCTCTTAGTCACAATACAAACTATAAATGGGATGCTTCCAGATTTTTCCTAGGCAATTAATTTCAAATTAATAGTTTCATCACTAACATGAAACCTTTCTGCAAGTTCTTGTTAAAGCAAGCCCATACAGTTTTCATTATTATTTGATTACCTGATAATTTTATATAAAATTAACACTAAACTATTTATAATAAATGAATATAAGTTACATATAAAAACCATATTTTATTGTAGTTTTTAAACAAACAAAAATTGCTAAAATAAACTTTCAATTACCATTACATGATACACAGTGGCTGAGAGATTTTCTTAAGGAGCTCGTAGAAGAATCTTTCAAACTGTTATAGCTCCACAGCATTAGATTAGTAACATTTACTAATCCATCTGAAACGGTACCTATTTTTTCAGTTAGGTGATTATTTATTTGTTCATCTTTTTTTAGATCAGAGTTGCTTTTCTCAAACGTTTTACTGTTAAATGTAATATTCTAGAATAAAATATAAAGATAAATTTAAAATGTTAAATATAACTTGTTACATCTATCAACTAAAATATCAATGATACTTACTGCAGAATTTTGTTGTGCTTTTATTGATGATAATGACATATCTTCATATAAATATGGCTTCGATTTAACTACACATGTTTCATATAACTGACTAGGTTTTAGACTAAGAAATACAACCGAATCTCTGAAATAAATATTTATGTTCAAATTATAAATTTTAATTACAAAATTTAATAAATATATATTTTAATCATTAAAAATAAAGGAAAATAAAAACTTAAAATTAATTAGAATGTTTTTATCAGTGGCACACTCAGGATTTAATCTTGAGGGAGCTGAGTTGAATGGATAAAAAATTTTTAATGCAAATTCAATAAAATGTAAAAAAAATGTATCTTCTGTAACTGCCAATTCATTAGTAGTATAGAAATAGAAGACATGACACAATGTAAATAAAAAAAAATTCTAATTAGAAAAAGATTTCTGAAAAGTTTTCTAGTTTGTTTTCTTTTTCTTTGGAGAGTGCCAGGCTCCTTGGTCCCCCTGAGCGGGTCATTGGTTGTTATAATTCTGTAAACATTACAGACAGGTTTTTATTTTATATAATGACATTCTATCTAGTGACAATGTTTAGTGAACCCCCTTTTTATGGCCTGAATTTATTTCAATGCTTTTGTGAGAGTTCTGGACTCTAAACTATCATTTTTGTACATCTGTAAATTAGTTATTTAATATTTGTTTGAAAAAAATCATTTAAGTCTGAGATGGCAAATATAACCAAAGTAGTTCACAAGATTTTCTCTATGATAACATTTCCTTCGTAAATGACATCTTCCAATAAAACCTACTCATCTAAGGAAATATAGTAAAAAATCGGGGATTGGACAGTCATCCAGCTCTCCAAAAAATTTCACTAAATTTGGGTATAAGGATGGAGAGGGGTGAGACCCCAAATAAAAAGAGAATGTGAAGTCATGGAGTTTGTCCGTTCATTAAGTTGTGATCATTTACAACAGTGCTCCATTGCCACTGGCCCCTTCAGACTCCTGCCTGCCGATCCTTCACTGCTCCACTCAAGAGAGCCTGATTACATCAACTTTTTGATTACTTTTGACCAACCCCTACAAGTTGGAACTGTTTAACTATACTTTCAAGAGACAATATGTCCAAAGCTATGACTGGATTAATGAACACTATTATGACGACTTCCTCTTTTTGATTTTGGAGTAGAGATTTTCCTCCAGGGAAAGACTCACTGGGAGATCATCGAATATCAGAACTACATCACAGGTATTTATCAGCACGTGTACTATTTGTAAACTCTCACACAGAGATAAGTGAGTGAGATAGATTTAAATATAATTGTAAATTAATAGACTACATTTGGTAAATTATACATTTAAAATAACATTTAATAAAATTTTAGCATTCGCCCATAGGAAACTTTGTAATGTTTTTAAATTTATAATTGTTGTCCTGGCAGTAAATTTTATTGAATTTTATTTTAAATGTATAATTTTTATAAGTGTTTTTTTCCTGCTGCCAGAGGATAATTTGTAATATTTTGCATTACAAGGCAGAGAAGTAGCCTCCAGATAAAGGTTTAAACTCTGCCACAAGATTTGTTATTTCCTGTTGATATACAAAGGGACAAAAAGGAAGGATGACACTTTTAGACTTTGTCCATAGGAAAGTGTAATTTTTCCAAATTTATATTTGGTGAAAATAAACATTTGTTTAACTGTTGACCAGTTTAGAGTGAATCACTTCCAGATTCTCTGTCTCTCAACTTTCTCCTCTATCTCTTACTGTAAGTTCTTCCATATGCAACCACTCATGCATTTATTGAAATGTTTCTGTGAGCCAAAAGTCAAAAGATGGTGTCAGTCCTAACCTGGAGGTGCTGCAGTTGTAGCTGTTACACTTTCTTGTGTGTGGTTTTTTGCATATAAATGACTCTAACCTTCTATACAACTGACATTCTTAACTAAAAATATTTTTAGATTTTAAAACTCTTTATAATGTCATACAACTTAATCCTACTGTTTAGTTTAGTTTAGAACTACAGCATTTTCTTATACAGGTAACCCCATATAACACGGGAGTTACGTTCCAAAAAATTGCTGTGTTATAAGAAACAAAGAACTAGTGCGAAAAGGGAGTTAGGTTCCAAAAATTAAAAAACACGTTGTTAAATCCTTATGTAAATTAGATTCATTATTCATTTTTTCCATAGGTAAAATACTTATTTATTATTTAAGTAAATATTTTACCAGAGGATTATTCATCCTATATGATGATCTCAGCATGAACATCATCAACTGGTAACAGTTTTTGGGTGTGTTTGTTAATAGTGGTCGCTCTGCAACGGAGTGCGCTGCTGTTTGTAGGCATTTAGGAATGACAGTGAAAGAAAAATGGCAGCGCCCACACTATCGATAGTATTGTGATGGAGGAATCTATAATTTTAAAATGAGCTTTTAGAGGCAAAAGAAGGGTCCCAATTGTAAAATTTAACCATTAAATGGATTATTTGTTGAAAGAGCATTCAAAGTAGCCATGAAAACAATTAGAATGCTCGCATGGAGTTACGCGGAGGTATAAAAGAACGCACCCTTTATTACATTTCATGTTGTACAAGGGTTTTACCCAATTCCCAAACTGTGTTAGAGTGAACCTGTGCTATAAAAGCACCGTGTTATACAGGGATGTTTCCAATTCTCGAACTGTGTTAGAGTGAATCCATGCTATAGAAGTGCCGTGTTATATGGGGTTAAAAGTGAAAGATATTGGACCTCATGCCAATCAATAGATAAGCGCTAGTAGTTTATAGCGATACTTGTAAGTTGTTTAACGCCTGGATGATAATTTTCTCGTTTCTTGCTTATATATGGGGGTTACCTGTACTACAAAATATGCATTTCATATCAGAAGAATTACAAACTCAAATATAAACTATATACATAGTTTAGTAATGAGTGTCCATAAAAGAAGCAAATAATTCTAACAAAAACAAACATAAACTGTCACTTAAATAAAAATAAATTACAGCAAATGTAAAAGTTTTACTGTTGTACAGTTCCAGTTAACACCTATGTGTGATTTCCAGCAAATAACTGCAATGATTAACGTTTTTAGCCACAATTTAGAACCCCTCTTCTTTTTGTTTTTTGGTTTATTTCCTGAAGAGGGCCTCTAAATTGTGGCCAAAAACAGAGCATTACAATTATTTGCTGGAAATTGCATATAGGTATTAGTTTCACTATATAAAATACTTGAATTTTGCATTTCATATCCTTGATATATTTGAGCATGACTTTCCTGTACATCTCTCTTCATTAGAACAATGTATTGACAAGTCATATTGAATTTTTTATAATAAAAATTATATATAAAACAAAATTCAAAGCATTACAAGTAAAGAATTTTTTTTTGAATTTTGTTTAATGGAGTGGAAACTAACTTAATCTTGTTTAACATCAGATGAGCTTCCTTAAATTCATTTAATTGATGTTTAAAAAAAAAATACAAAAGATTTATTTTACTACCATCTACTCAGAAATTTATCATTAATACTTTAAACTGAATGTGACTGTTACTTTAACATAAGAGATTCCTACATTGTAAAGTTTAAAAACAAAAAAAAAATCAAAATGGTAATATTATTGGTTCCAATTTCAATAGTTGAAAGTAATTGTAAACAAACAAAACCTTGCATGTTCAGGCTAGTTCTATCATTTAAATGTATGCAATTACCTTAGGCCTCAAAATTTATTTATAGGCCTAGTGATGTTATTAGCATGGCAATTATTACATCAAATGGTTTTATCCATCAATGAGACTAACTGCTCATATATATATATACAGTAGAACCTCGATTAGCCGGATTTTCGATTATCCGGATTGTTCAAAATAAATAAAAATTTTACGAATTTGCTGATTTGCACTTGGCGAATTATGATACTGTTTATGTACATGATGGAATGCATAATTTTTTTTGTTTCAACATCATCTCACCCAGCACAGTGACCGTAAACTCTTAAATATATTTTGCGTCGTAATAAAAATATAACTTGACATACGTATTTATAAAAAAATTTTATTTTCAAATTACATCATTTCTATGATTAAGGGTGGCGTAAGGCATAGGCAACATGGGCCACCGCCTATGCCTCGTGGTCCGAAGGGCCTTGCGTTTCGAAGGTTTATGCATTACTTAAAAGCCGCGAATGCGACGAAAAAATTTTACTTGTCATAAAACAATAATTAGTTTGTCAAATTTTTATTCATAAAAATGCAGTTTCAACTGATTTTTATTTTATAAAATCCGTCTTCATGCGCCACCAGAGGGTCTTTTAAACAATAGGTAGTCTGTTAGCGTTGGTCAGTAGTAGTCCAAATTAAATATGAACGTTTGTTTCTTGAAAATTTGATCACGATTTAAATACAGTATTTACTTTTAATATTGCTGATATGTCATCAAAAAGAAAACGTGTTGTATTATCATTAAAAGACAAATACTTTAATTAAAGTATTTGTTTCGATTATCCAAATTTTTCCTTATCTGGACTACCTTCATCCCCAATTAGTCAGGATAATCGAGGTTCTACTGTATATATATAAATACCTTAAAAAGTTCATCTTTCTTCGAATAGACCATGAAGTACAAAATGTATGAGATCATAAATTCATTACATTTGGGATTATGTAATTTGAACAGAATAGATTTAATCTATTATAGTAATAAAACAAGAAAAAATCTTATGAACTTAAATTCATTTTTAAAATAAAATATTGAATAAAATGAATGGAAAACTTGCAAAGTTTTTAATTTTAATTTCCTATTAGATTAAAATAAATGCAAAGTAACAAGATATGTAAATAAATACAAAACATAATTTGCTATATCCATTTGAAAGTATTTTAAAATCTTCATAAAAAATGTTAATATTTAAATTTGATAATAAAAAATGCTTATTCTTACAATTACAACAATATTTGAATTTAGTTTTAAAAATAATATTTTTACTTACATTGATATTATAAATTATATATTTAAATATATATTAAATGTGCTAATGACTATCATAAAATATTAAATGTATTAAAACCTACTAACTTGTTTGCCACTCCTAAATTCTTATCAATCATTCCAGAGTCCACAATTCTGAGATTATTGACAAT